TATCGTGAACGCATTGTTGACTATTACGATGCAGCATCAAAGTCAGCTCTTACCCGGAACGCGGCAAGTAGCGTTTCATCCGTGTCCGGCTCGTACTCGTTGGTATACAGTACTTCCAACATTTTCTTTTCGAATCGATCGTACGTCACGAATGTGGACGGCTCATCCTCTTGCATCTATGATAGGGCAAGCGAGAAACAGCAGTGCAGATAAAAGCTAGAAAAGATATTAAGAACTGATCGAAGTTCTGTTGACGTACGTCTGGAAGGATCTTCTTGATAATATCCTTCTCGGTCGGGTACGCACCAAGGTACCGCATGATCGTACTCACTTCTCTACAAAAAATAAAATGGCGCATTATTTTCTAGCAACTCAAGTTGCGTGCACCAAACACTTACTCTTGAATGACGCTTCCTTTCTTTTCCTTGTCGAACATATCGAACGCAGCCCGAATACGCACCTTCCGTGCAGCCTCGTCGTCGGCTGGTACGCGCTGGTTGCTCGCTGTTGCTGGGGCTGCCATTATCTATCCTCCTGCCTTGTGAATAATGTCGAAACGCCCGTCCTTTCAGACCCTCTTTATTAAGTTTAATGAAATCTACAACGAAAGTCTCCGCTTAGAGATTTCTACCGCTCCTCACAGCACATCTTGACGAGAAACTGGTGCTCCATTGTAGAAGATGTCAGTCTTGGGGCCAACGATGCAGTATGGCTTCGGATCAGTCTCCACCACCACGAATTCAACATCTGGCCCGCCCTCCTGACAGCACACGAGCAAGAGATCGCCTTGCTGGACGGGGCGGAATGCGTCGGCGAAGTATGGCTGCAGGTAGTTTTCAAACAGCCCTTCACCCATCATTTCCTTGTCGACGGTATCGTCGATGGGGAGGACGCGGATGAACTTCCCGTTCGGCACGTCGCTACCTAGTCCAGTGACCGTGATGTCGTCCCCAATGTTGAGGCGCAGGTTGCGCCTCATGATCGTACTGACGCGCGCCACCTCCGGCTGAGCTTCGTCACTTGCATCGATACGAGCAAGAGCTACAGTCTTCCGTCCACCTTGAGCGAGGAGCACCACGTCACCGTGTGTGATTCCCATCGCTTCCATTGCACTCCTTTCCATCGAGACTGTCGATCCATCGTCTACTAACGCTGGAGCCACTGATAGTCGCTTCGGCATACTCTTTCACGAGGTAGTCGCTCAATTCAGAATTGAGGAGTGAAGAAGTTTTTATGCTTGACAGCGAGGTGTGACACTGCTACAAATAGACTGTGTTCTAGATAAGGATAAGAACTGGGGACTTATTGCGCCCCTTAACTGTGAAAAAAGACAATACTTCTAGAAGAAGAAAGTTATCTGGTGCATGTAAGGTCGATAACCAGTTTAGTAGAAGAAAATTCTAGCTCGGAGAATATTTGGTCAATTGTAAATCTGCGACTCAATCGATGGCTCGTGATTTAGGTTATCGCGGCTGTCTTTTATAGTTCATTTAGGGATGCTAAGGGGAGGGGTAGTAGCTCCCCGAAAAAGGGGTCCAAAATCCAGCTCCGACCACTTTAGTGCAGCTAAATGTGTAGGAGTTAGTATCATGAGCGCATTACTCTTCGCATTTTTTTATTAAAATTTTTAACTGTTGGAACAATTTCCTCCCTACGACACCTAATTTCTACCAATCACAATGGTAGATACTTCCTTACCAATAGTTGCTAGAAAAGATATTTTGGTCTGTGGGGCATCTTACTTCAAAATTTGATGTGTTCAATAAATCCCGTGCACACTTTATTTACGATTAGTTCCAGCCTACACGAGAGTAGTGTTACGCTCCAAAACACGTCTGGATCTACATGTATCTCCACAACTCGTCCGAAAGTCATATATCGGCACAAGTAGGCTCGTTCTAATAAGTTGGCTCGATACAATAGTGCGTCAAATATACCCTCTTGACGCCACTGACAGTTGAGAAGTCGACGAAATCGATTGTGTTAACACCAGAAGAAGAACGCCTTCTTGTCCAAAAACGCGGTTAGCGATGCTTCCCATTATGGCTAGATGCACGCGCATCAACTGAAACCCTCAAATCGGCGGCATTTATTACGTAGGATACATATTAGGTCTCTGACGGCTTTGGTCAAGCCATTTGGTCAGTTGGAAAACAAGCCTTGGTAAGCAATTGGTAGATCTTTAAGACACCACGAGGCCCAATCTTTTGTTTAAAGCGTTCATATTGGCCTTGGTGGCCTCTACATCGCTACTGCCACCCTATCTACCCCATATTCCCACCTTCGATGCCTATTGATTTTATTCCCACAATCCCCATATTTGGACCTCTACGCCATCTATTTCATGCCCTTATGTCCACTTATTACGTACTAGTAGCATGATATTGAACGCGCTACTTCTTACTAGTCATGGTGTGTTTAAATGCTTGCCCAGTGCTTGCCAAGTCTTGTTTCCCAACGTGACCAAAACGCGTGACTAAAGGCGCCAGCGACCTAATATAATGATTACCCATTCATTATTGTATCTTGTCATGTGATGGTGTCCATGCATTATACAAAACTCGCGCAACCGAAAGCATCTTTTGGAACGTAACCACGAATTGCTTTTTAAGCAAACATTGAATACTGAGCCATTCTTTGTACTGAATTGTCTAACACTCGAATATTCACGGCCATTCAAAGCTCGCCAGCCTCAAAATGGTGGCACAGCTTTTATACATTAAAAGTGTAATTACCAGTCTGGACACCTACATAGTTTAAAATCTCAATTAGTCTGGTCCAGACTAATTGTGCTGGATTCCCAATCCAGACTAAATATACCATCTATTAGTGTGAATTGAACTGCGCTTGGTATCTATAATTCCGGAGAGGCTAGCTGTAGACAACAACACTTGAATGCATGCAGCGGATTCAGGGATGATGCATGTAGTGTTGCGCACGCGTGTGGCGCGTACGGAATCAATACATGTTTTCAGCAGGGTGTTGAAAGATTATTAAAAAAAAATATTCTCGAAACAAAGAGTATTTTATCACAAGCTGCTTCCCTGGGCTTGCAGCTTTCCAACTATTTTCAGTCTTTGTGTCTGGCTGGGTGAACAGGTTGCATCCGACAAATGCCATCTTTCCTGGCTTATTTCTATACACTACATATCTGTGGCAGCTTTAATTATTTAACATCAGTAAAATAAAAAGAAAATGAGTCGGTTGGTTCGGTGCG